CTTTCAAGAGGAGGACCTTCTCTCCCAAATTCTAGATGCCACTAGAATCGCTCACAAAAACAATGGACAATGGCATCCTCCTAACCCTAGAAAACTTGCCCTTAAATAGCCCTATAACACAATAACCTGAATAGAATCATAATTTAGAAAACATTCCTAAACAATTAAACATAATTTAAGAAACATTCCTAAACAAATAAACATAATTTAAGAAACGTTCATAAACAATTAAACATAATTTAGAAAACATTCCTAAACAAATTAAATATAATCTAAGAAACCTTCCTAAATAATTAAACATAATTTAGGAAACCTTCCAAAATAATTAAATATAATTTAGAAAACCTTCCTAAACAATTAAACATAATTTAAGAAATCTTTCTAACTAAATAAAACTTTTCTAGTCAAAACCTCCCTCATTAAATCCTTCCTAACACATAATAAACATATTTGGAACAATACTAATTTAAAACCTTCTTGATAAAAATCTTCCCAAAACACCTCTCGCTTGATTACTCCTATTTGCATAACAGCTCTACTAGGCCCCCACAAAGCTGGCCGAATTTCCCCTCCCGCTTTCGCTCAGCCTTGGCGTATCAATCTCCTATGCATTGTTCTTGTCTAAGGCTTCCATATGCATTCTCAATGCTTTGATCCATTCCTCATTGGACAATAACTCAAATAATATTTCAAAGATTGAAGTGGTGTTTAGGTTCACAAAGAAAGATTCATCACAACGCAAAGTGAGGTGACGAATATAATAGGTATTTCGTGCACTCCCTTATACTTTTTCAAATGGGAATTGGGAAGTCAATATAATTGTTTTCATCTTCAAATTTATTTTAGAAGGTGGGCTTAGAAATTGTAATCACCTCAATTTCAATATTTGGAGAAGATTGTTGGGATTGCATTGGTTCTAAAATTAGATTAATCATTCTTGATACACATGTTTATACCTCCAATTATCATGATTTAGGATTTCTAAATTATTTAGAGAATGAATAAGCGGTTAAATTTCTTCTTGAGAAACAGTTGTTGAAACTCGGGACAATGTTATTAAGAGGGGATGAAGATGTTTCTATCCTTATCTTCCATAGTAGAACTCTACCCTAAATGTAAGAATGAGCAAAGAAAGATCTATCTTCTTCAAAATAGACATTAGCCAAAAAAAAATTTAAAAAAAAAGGTGGATGGTATCACTTGTATCAAGTTTTGGTTTATGAGTAACACAAAATATACACTTTCTTTTGACCTATTTTTCCTTGTATTATTACTATCAACATGCTCAAAAGAAGTACATCTAAAGATTTCATGTTGTAAGGTTATTTGTAACATTCAAATTGAGATAAAATAAAAGCTTTGCTTCCTATTTTCCCTATTCGCCTCTCTTGTTGTCCAACATCATCCCTCCCCAATTAGATTTTGTGTGGAATTTGATTGTGTCGATCAATCGAATTGTACTATTGCTTCAGACCTTAATTAAGTTGTCGTGCTCATTGCGAGGTTGCAGGGTCCTCCCCCTACTTGGGTTCAAATACTTTGCACCTTAAAAAAAAAAAAATCGTGCAGCGCCCAGCGCTGCATAATTTGCTTGGAGAAAACACGAGTGGAGAAGCACTGCGGCGCTAAAGACTTGGCATAGCGACGCAGCCAAGCTCTCCATGCTTCGGCATTGTTGCGCTGTCAGGAAAGCTATAGTCAGGGGTGATAAACGTCGTGGCGCTCAAACTTGGTGTTCTGGTGCTGCAAAACAGGCTGACATTTCTTTCTCGTTTTTCCTTATGGGTTGCGTCCCTTGGTGGTTACTAAGCTTTTTTCTTTGTTTGTTCGTGTAAGAAAGGTGCAAGGGTGAAGAGAAGCAAGGAGAGAGTAAGAGAGAAGAGAGATATGTATAAATTTCTCCCAATTTTCATAGTATATTTCTTGGTGTAGTGTGGCTCCGTGGTTTTTTTTCCGGTTTCGTATTTTTCTACGTTAAATCCTAGTGTTCATTATTTCTGTTGGATTTCTATTTCTTATTTGTTTCGTTGCTTGATTTACTCCCCCCCCCCCCCCACCCCCACAAACCTCCCCCTCCTTCGGCAATATGTACATTACTACCTCCTACAAAATTAAGAAGGCAACCTATCTTAAAGCATCAAAATGGAGAAATTGGGATAATCTCAAGGCTATGGATAATTATTGATTTATGTTTGATATGAGGATTGCTTTACATGGGAGCTGTTATGCTCAGCTACAATTTTGGAATATGTTGCTTTTTATCTTCTGCTGCTACACGAATTCTGAAGTTTTGGTCACTGTTGATTAATGCTCGACTTTGTCTATTATAAAATTCAAGTCATGCAGCTATTCCAATTACTTAATTATTCTCAGGTCTTGTAAAGATTTTCTATATGCCCTGGACGATGATGATAATCCCTAAATTTCCAGACCTCCCCTTGGATAGTCATCTTAACAACCAGGGGAGCCATCCCTACCAACTGACCTTTAATGACAGTTTTTCTGTTATCTATTCCGAGTCTAGACGCTGTTAATCACTTTTTCATCTCCTTTCATTTAGTGTATTTCCAATTTGTATTAGCTCTCTCTTATTCCTTTCTATAGGAGTTCTCTTTATTACTTTTTGAGTGACCTCTGCTCCTTTTTTATGCAGCTCATGCAACTTCATTTTTTACACTATAATTTTGTTATATTGTAATTTATTTTACTGCTAATGAAATGGGCGTAGCTCTTAATTTTCCCCAAAAAAAAAGATAAAATTGAAAGTGTGCTTCCATTTGTATTTTGAATTCCAAAACTTTAGATGACAGACAATTTATAATGCAAGTAGCTTGAATGATCGCCTCTACCTAATAAGATTTTGGAATATTGTGTTGGAATAATAAAGCTCTAGTTTTGGCTAGTAAGTGACCATTTTCCCTTTATGGAATCCCATTTATTGGGGATTGCTAAGGCCTCATATTTATTTTCTTCAAATTATTGTGTGCGGCGAATATATTGCTTCATATTTGAAGTCCTCAAATTCCATGTAGTAATTATAACCTTAGAATTAGACCCAATCATCCTTTGCTTTCATTTCACCAAAATCAATCAAAGTAGTAGAAGCAACTTAAGATGATATCCTAATACAGCATCACCTGCTTCTCACCAAAATAGGGTTAAATTGTGGTATACCGCTTAAGGATTATATCCTAACAAACTTTTGCCAACTTCTCAACACAAACAGTTAGTTCGTGACTCGTTGCTTTAGAGGATCATTCTAACATTAGCAATATTAAAAATTTTCTTCATTTTAATAGTTTTTTCATTAGTTTAGATGTGAGGTTGTTGTCAACCTTAATAGTAAACCTGTAAAAGCTCATACTCTCAATCATCAAAATATTGTTCGTCTTGGCTTAATAACCTCATGATTTTGTCCTCTTGGTATAACTTCTCAAGAGGTCACCCATTCTAGGAGTACTTCGATACGAGCATGTTTTAACTTTAGAGTTTCTAATAAAATTTTTAAAATTATACTAAAAGGTGTCTCCAAGTTTTAAGAGTTCGGCTTTATTTTCTTAAGAAATTTTGACAATCCCTCCAACTTAGATAACTGACGTCCTCGTCAGTTTCTTTAATACAGAATCATCTACCAGGCAAATAGGATTTTAAAGGTAGGCATCTTATCTTCCAGCTGGTGTATCTCTCTTATACTAATTGTAACAGCCTAAACTCTCAACAATTGAGATATTGTATGCTTTGGCTCAAAAGCCTCATGGTTTTATCCCCTTAATGTAACTTCCCAAGAGGTCACCCATCTTAGGAGTGATCCGATATTAGCACACTTAACTTTAGAGTTTCTAATAAATTTCCAACAATTACACTAAATAATATCTCGATGCATTATTTTCTTAAGGTATTGTGGAACCCCTTAAGAAAATAAAATTAAACTCTTAACACATCGAGGTGATTTTTGGTATAATTGTTGGAATTTCATTAGAAACTCCAAAGTTAAGTGTTCTCATATTGGCGCACTCCTAGATGGGTGACCACCTAGGAATTACATCAAAGGGAAAAACCGTGAGGCATTAGGCCAAAGCTCAAAGCAGACAATATCTCAATGGTTAAGAGTTTGGGCAGTTACAAATAGTAACAGAGCAATACACTAGTCGTAAGATAGGAATTCATTGATCCAAATTGCATGGTTCAATATCCTAAGTAAAAAAAACTAATAAGGATGTTAATTACCTAAATTTGTGGAACACCTTAAAAAATAGAATTGAACTCTTAAACATCAATGCTCATTTTAATGTAATGGTTGGAAACTCATCAGAAACTCCAAAGTTAAGCGAGCTCGTATCGGAGCACTCCTATGGTGGGTGACCTCCTGAGTAGTTATACCAAGAGACAAAAACTGTGAGGCTATTGGCCCAAGCAGACAATATTTCAATGGTAGAGAGTTTGGACTGTTACACAACTATCACTCGGCCATATAATATCTGAAGATCTCCAACATTTATGTCCCTAATTCTAAATAAATCAACTCTCATAATCATACAAGATTGTGTTAAATTTCAGGACCCGGGATCACCATATTCAAGGCTTACATGTTTTAATTTGCATTAACACATACAAGCAAGCATAAAAGCAGAATTTCCACCATATGTATAACTAAGCCTTAAAACTCTAATGTCGATGTCACAAACACAACAAAGGAAAACAAAAAACAAAAAACAAACAACAAAAACACAGCAATTCGTGGATAAATCATCAAAAGCATTCAAAGAACGCCAACAAAAATCAAAATTTCAGATGCAAAATCAAGAAACTAACTTCAAATCATGTGACAACAACAGGGGAAAAGATTTACTGTCCATACACGAAATGAATAAGCCCTAGATGACTGCAGAAGTAGCAGAAAACTATAAAAGCGATTGAAATAAAAGAACCCGAACTCTTTCAAGGTGGCGATACAGCACCAAAATGTGTGCGGATAAAGCAAGATGGTTGGTATTGCTTACATTTGCTAGTTTTCGTCGGGGCGAAGTTCAAGAGAGATGAGGGGGAGCTCTGTAGGCCGACAAGAAGAAATACAATACCAAGAGTCAAGGTCACGTAGATAATAAACCAGGGGAGCGTAATTGGCTTGCTGGGTCAACTAATATACCTCTTTAAAATATTATAAATCATTTCACCCAAAAATAAAACATTATAAATCTCCTCGAGTTGTTTTGGCTCGTGTACTGTACGCTTCCGATCACCCTGATTTTTTTTTTTTTTTTTTTTTTTTTTTTATTAAAAGGACTTTTTTTTTTTTTTTTTTTTTTGTAATTAAGGGACAGCCACTAATGCTATTAAAAACAAAGACAATCACGCACAACACTCGAGGAGCACAGCCTTATCTCTACAGCCATTAGAATATAACAAATCTGATACATCCTAATCTTACACGTATATATATATAACTAAACATTAAAAAAAGGTTATATTTCTCTCTACATTAATTTTAATATTGTTCTTCTTATTTTTTTGCTTCTATTCATTATTCTACTTTCTATATTACATTCTCAAGATATATAATAAAGTTTTTACATGTATTAGAGCCTTAGCCTAATCGCACCCAGCTGTATCAATGGCCTATTATTCAACCTCTCAAATCGGTGAAGCCTCCACTAAAACCTTCATTGAGATCTCACACATACCTTCATCCCTAAAATCTATTGACGTTGCTATCCAACGACAAATATCTTATGTGATGATCTCAAATCCTAAAATTATTTCGTGTAAATGGCTTTGCTAACATTTTACACCAAACCACTGAAAACTCAATTGCATCTGATCGCTACCAATAGTACTACTCTACCAAATCCCAAATACAACCAGTGGTTACTGATTGACACCAAAATCTGGCAATAGTAATCTGTTCCATTTTTACTCCTGCTACTCTTCCTTATGTTCTACATCTCAACTCTTGTTACGAAATCTAGCTCACAATCGAACATCATCTACAAGCCTCCAATAGATCCAGAGTTATTCAGCTTAAAAATGAACTCTATAATATATCTATGAATAATGTTTCAAAGACCCAATACCTCACAACCATTAAAACACTAGTGGATAACATAGCAACCACATGCTCTACCATCGATCTAGAATACAACCTTCTCTATATACTTTGAATGGCCTCCCAGCACAGTACCAAGCCTTCAAAATGGCCATCGGAACCAAGCTAACTCCCATCAGCCTTGAAAACCTATACTTTCTCCTCATTAGCAAGGAAATCAATACTGTGTCAGATACATCTCACGAACTACCTACTCCCAATCTCAACAAAACCCTTTACGCGCCACTAGGACGAGGCAGATGTGGGCAAGGCTGCATTTTTCCAAACACCGATCGTGATCAAACCTTCAGCCGCACCTCTACCCCTTCCTTGTAATCTGCTAGATTTATTAACATTCAGCTACAACCTGCTGGCACATAGGTAATTCAAATTATTCCAAAAATCTCTTCTCCTCCACCACTAAAGCAATGGTCAACAACCTTTCTAACAAATCTCCATACTCGTATATTGACTATGGTGCATCATCTCATCTCACCAACAACCTAAACAATATTCAACTTCTTGCTTACTACACAGGTTCAGACAATATTATCATTGGAGATGGAGGTTCTCTTCACATTGCTCACTCTGGTCTTGGAATCCTGTCAACACCATCTCGTAAGCTACTTCTTCCAAATATCTTTCACATTATAGATATTTCACACAATCTCCTTTTTTGTCTCACGTCTTACGACTGATAACAATGTTTCTATTACTTTCGATGTTTTCAGTTACACAATCAAGGATCCAAAAACAAATGTCACTCTTCTTTCGGGACCAAGTTGTAACGGTCTTTACCCAATTCATCTTCCAACATCACCGCATAGTCATCAAGCATTCACTATAACCATATATCCTTCCCTCAAATGACACTATCATTTGTGTCATCCAAATTGTAAAGTTATTGCTACAATCTCTACACAAAACATAGAACTTCCAATGCTTGTGTCTTCTTTATTTTGTGCTTCTTGTATTGCCTCTAATAGTTATAAACTATCATTTGCTAAATCTACAAAACATAATAATTATCTACTTGAACTACTACACTCTGATGTATGGAGACCTTTGTAACAGTCCAAACTCTTAACTATCGAGATATTGTCCGCTTTAGCCTAAGGGCCTCACGGATTTTATTTGTTGGTGTAACTTTCCAGGAGGTCACCCATCCCAGGATTTCTCCTGAATGAACACGCTTAAATATGGAGTTTCTTAATGAAATTTTGACCATTACACTAAAAGACGCTTCGATATTTAAGAGTTTAGCTTCTTTTACTTAAGGGGTTTTACAATCTCCCTCACTTAATGACATCCTCATCAACATCTTTATCCCAAAATTATCTACAAGACATAAGATTCTAGAGGTGGCCCCTACAAGTTTATGTGGTGGCTCCTGTCATGTAGAACTTTATCCCATACAGGGTTCAAGAGGTGGCTCCCATGGCGTAGCACTTTGTCTTGCATGGCACTTAGTTCCCATCTTTTAGCTGGTGTATTGCTCTAATATCATTTGTAACAACCTAAATTCTTAATTATCAAGATATTGTCCGCTTTGGCCTAAGGGCCTCCTAGTTTTGTCCTGTTGGTATAACTTTCTATGAGGTCACCCATCCAAGGATTTCTCTGAGACATGCACACTTAACTATGAAGTTTCTTAATGAAATTCTGACCATTACAGTAAAGGCATCTTGATGTTTAAAAGTTTAGCTTCTTTTACCTCAGTGGTTTCACAATCTTCCCCTATTACCTCCACTCAAAATATTATATGATCTTTGTTGATGATTATTCAATCTTTGTATAGATTTTTCCAATGTTCTCAATATCTAAATTTTTATCTAATTTCTTAGCCTTTAAAAATGTGATTGAAAATAAACTATTGCATAAGATTAGTAGTATTTGCACTGACGGTGACACCAAATTTTGAAATCAGCCATTTCAAACATTCCTAAAAAATCGTGGCATTCATCAACAAATTAGTTGTCCTTGCACACATGAACAAAATGACAAAGTTGAATACAAACACCGACATATACTTGCACACTCTTACATATAACCCACCTCCCATATACTCCATTGCTCGACACCCTTCTTATGGATGCCTACCTTATAAACTGCCTTCATCTCCTAACACCAAAAACAAATCATCATTCCACCTTCTACACGAACATAAATATCAATACTCACATCTTCGCGCCTTCAAATTTGCGTGTTTTTTTTACATGAGAAACAAACTTGCTCCTCGCTCAAACTCATGTGTTTTTATTGGCTACTCAAACTCCTATAAATGTTGCAAATGTCTAAACCCAACTATATGTTGTATATATATTTCTCGACATGTCATATTTGAAAAGTCTACTTTTACATTAAAAAACAAGCCAACACCTGCCCCTTGTCGCTCCACTTTTGGATACTGCACATTTCTAGGCATCACCAACTTCTCTTTAATCGTCAAAAAGCATCATAGAGTTGCATGATCAAAAAAAAAAATCTATAGAAGTGTAATATCATGCTCTTGTTACAGCTACTCATACCTCCTCTAGCTTCACTGCCTATTACACTATTATCACATTCGGACACCTCAACCAACGTATATTTACTGTAGTAATGTATCATCCATCACCCTCACCAACAACCCGATGTTTCACGCCAAAATAAAACAAATCAAGGTTGATCATCATTTCATCTGGGATCATATATGCGCTAAAGAAATTCTCAAACTTTCGGCCAGCTCCACATATCAAATTGCTTAAATAATCACCAAATTGTTATCCACCCATCATTTCTAGCTTTTTCGACACAAACTGATGCTTCAACCTCTACCATCATTTTTCGGGGGAGTAACAAGGATAGCTATTAAAAATAAAGACAACCACGCACAATACTCAAGTGGAGCAACAGCTTTATCTAACAATAAATCATAACCATTATAATATAACAAATCTAATACATCCTAACCTTACACGTGTAAAGCAAAACTAGCATCTCATCTATATATATGCAATACTAGAACCAAACAGTAAAAATACAATAGTTTTTTCAATAATAATCTTGTTCTTCTCTCTGCATTTATTCCTACTTCTACTTTCTCTATTACACTCTCAAGGCAAGAAATGAAGTTTTTACACCTACTTTCCTTCATATATGAAAATTAAAAAAGAGAAATATACAACTCTGTAAAATGAGACATTATGTGAAAAACAGTAAACAAAAATCAACAATGCTCAAAAACTAATTAAAGCAATAAGGACTAAAAGCAACACATCAAAAATAGAAAGTTCAAACTACAACTAGAGAGAGGGATAAAATTTTGACTCAAACGACAACCAAAAATCACCCAGGCATGTATATATCATGATCAGCTATAGTCTCAATTGCCTAAGGAAAAATAAAGGCCTTCTAGAGCGGAATACATGGTGATAAAAACCAATCATCACAGTCCACACAACAACAACAACAATAAGCATTTATCCCACTATGTAGGGTTGGCTACATGAATCCTTTTTCTCCATTTTGTGCTATTAAGAGTCAAATTCCCATTAAAATCTAATAAAGAAATGTCATTTCTAATATTTTATAACCAAGTCTTTTTAAGTTTACCTCTGCTTTTCTTAACAAAGGCCAAATCTAATACATCTACTCTCATAACAAGCTCATCAAAAAGGCCAACACTCTATTTAAACTAAACCATCTAAGGTGACTCTCTCTAATATTGTATATCACTAGAACTATTCCAACCTTTTTCCATATATGCTCATTTTGTATCCTGTCACTAAGAGTAATTCCACTCATCCACCTGAGCAACCTCAACTAAGCAGCACTTAACTTAATATTATGCTTCTATTTTAATGGCCAACATTTTGCACCATAAAGCATTGTAGGTCTCACCACCATCTTATAAAATTTTCCCTTAAGATTGAATGGTATTTTTCTATCACACAACAAACTTAAAACATTCCTCCACTTCAACCATCTAACATGAATTCTACTAATAATATTCCCATCTATTTCACCATCACTCTGAACAATAGACCCAAGA